GTGAACCTCGGATCTCAGAAGTCGGGCCGGCTCCGCCACAACAGCATGGTATCCCCCCGCAGTGCGGTCCACTCCGAGTCGATCACAGGGTCGGCCCCTAAGGCAACGAACCCCCGCCTCAGATGCCTCCTAGGGAAAGGGAACGCCTCTACCACAGCAGACGATCAACCCCTTACCGCCTGACGTCAAGGTGAACCTGGACGAAGAAGAAGATCACAGAAAAGAAAAGCGTTTAGACAGACGGGCATAGAGAAAGGTGGTCATTCGGGAAATAATGGGTAACATCTGGAACGAGTCCATGTCCGATTAAGTTTCTTTTTTTTTGTGTGTGTGATCGTTCCTTTTATCATCGTCAACTGATTTTCTCTCTTGTGACAAATATGCAAACAAGAGATAGAAGACAAGCACCCTGTCCCCATTTTCATTGACATGGCCAATCTTGTTTTCAAGCTTTCTTCTACCTACCTGCACATCAGATCAAACAACAAGTTCAAAGGAAAACAATGCAATTCACACTCACGTCAGACTTTCATTCACACACGCAAACACACATCTTCTCTACCTATCCAGTGAACATTCAAAGAATAGCGCCAAGCAAGTGTGGGTTCACACAAGTGTGAAGGGGTCTGAGTCAAACAACGGACCTTGAATGAAGTTAAAAAAAAACGGCCCACTCGAGAAGACCGTGTAAAATCACACTCCAACGAAGACAATCGTCACAATGAGTCGCCCGCAAAACGATCCACACTACTTTCTAGAACGATCGCTTGACGCGATACCCTCTCAGCACCCAATCATCTCCCAGTGATCTGACAGCGTCGCCGGTGCACACCCCCAATTTCACTGTGCCACTACGGCGTCGCACTCACACCACTTTCAAGCGCACCACCACTTCGCGGTACCTTCCCTGCGCTAATGCCCAAACGCCGCCTTATATAGTCAGTGTAAAAATATTGCCACCTCTACCACGAGAAACTGGCAGCGCTACCGCACCACCGTCGTCAAACCCAATGCTGCTGCCGCAAATTTTCAGAAGCACTTCCTCACTACCGGCGCCAAACCCGGCGTTGTTGTCGCAAAATCTCAGCAGCGCTTTCACGCTACCATCTGAACGTGTTGTGGTTGTCGCAAGGCGGCGCAACATCACCCTTGTACCTCATAAAAAATGGCTGCCAACACCGCGTTGAACAGGCAACACCTTCTCTGATTTGCTACCAAAAATATATGCCGCCACCATGCCCGACGGGCAGCACCTTCCCTGCACCGCAACAAAAATAGTCTGCCACCGCCGCACCGTGCAGGCAGCACCTTCCCCACACCGCAACAAAAATAGTCTGCCGCCGCCGCACCGTGCAGGCAGCACCTTCCCCACACAGGTCCAGCTATGGCCGACGTTACCGCAAAAAGGGTTGGCAGTGCTCCCTCGTCACCTTCATTTAGTGCCGTCGCGGCCGCACCGCGCGGACAACACCTCCCCTGCGCTCCACTGTTCACCAAGGTGGTGGCTATGGCAGCCTCCACCTTCTCCTTTCACCCTTCCTGCAGACCTCCAGCACCTCCTCCCTTCCTCCTCGCTGTGACGGCGGCTATGGCTGCATTCTACAGCTATGGCCACCTTCCCCTTCCTCCTGCAGTCCTCCTCCTCCGCCACCAGCAGCTCCGCTCCGCCTCACTTCTCCGCAGCCAGCCAACAATCTCACCAGTAAGAGCCCAGCACTGCTGCCAAGAATGCTTGGCTGCTGGGGCTGGAGGTTATTTTTATAGCCAGAGAAGTGGCTGAGGCAGCCACTTTGCCCCAGCCAAAACTCGGATCTGAGCTCAGCCCTTGATCTGCATCACGATCAAGGGCTGAAACTTGATCTCTGGGTGGAGAAAACCACTCCCAGGCTCAGGTACCGCACCTAATCTGTCATTCAGGCCGGATTTGGCCTTAAATTGGTTGAATCCAGCCATGTGCAGAAGCCTGTTCACTTCGAACAGGCATCTGCCTGTCCAATCCCACAGGGTGCGCACCTGTGCTGCACCCACAGCCAGGTGCACAACTTTTTCCCCCTTTCTTCTTCTTTTTTTTTCTTTCTGAAAAGGGCAGCTCGTTTTTCAAAACGAGCTGCCTCCTTTCACCAAGCCATTTCACAGTGTCGGACTAGAGTCAAGCTCAGAGGGGTCTCCCCCTCTTGCCCAACGCGCCCGTACCCGGACTCCCACGGGGCTGGGTGCAGGCGACGCTCTGCAGCCTGTTCAGTAAGTGAACGGGCACAGAGCCAAAGGGGCTGCTCGACTTGCATGACTTACCTGTTGGCTGCTGCTATCGTGAACCAACGGCCGCCAGGTAAGGTCACTCTCCCTCTTTGCGCGCCCGCACCTGGGCGCCATCAGCTCTTGGCTCGGGCAATGGTGGACAACTACTGCCTGTTTCGAAATAAGAACGGGCGCAGCTGTCCACTGCCAGGACGTTAGGAGGGGAGGGCTAAGGAAAAGAGGGAAAAAAAAAAACAATCTGAAAGAAAATCTAAGGAGTCTAAATAAATAAATAAATAAAAGGGAAAAAACAGACCTACCTAAAAACGGTTTCCCGTTCAGAACGGGCACCTTCAAGTGCATTGGGGACTTAAGTGGCCCAATCACTTCCATTTACGCCATGTGGTGTTTTGATTCCCTCCCTTTTTTTTTTTTTTTTTTTTTCTCCGTTGGCCTAAGCCAACGGTCACGTCACTCCCTGTGGCTTTTCAGCCATGTCTCATATGATGCAGATCCGTTTTTTTTTTGTTTTTTTTTTTTCTCGTATTACTGGGAACCCCTATAGCAGCCACATCCGTGCCCAAGCCTCCAACGAAGGAACATGCGGGAGATGCACCCACCAGCAGGTGCGATACCTGCTACAGCAGGTGGGCGATACCAACCAGGGGTCAGCCTGTAGCATCAGGACCAAGCCTATTGTCTGGGCCAGTCACTGTGTCTCCCCTCCGGTCCCCTCCCCCTATGAACATCAGCAGTCTCTGCTCAATGCCACTCGGGGGGACCAACGACATATCTCTAGGTGGCGGGCACCAAGCTTGCCCAGGAAGGTACATGAGGCCAATGGGGATTGAACCCATAACTTCTTGAATGCTACTTGCGTGCCTTACCAACTGAGGTAGGCCGCTGGATCAGATCCAAGTTCAATCCCAATTGGGAACCAAAAAAAAAAGACTCGAACCAGTTCTCGATTTGTGCGTGTCATCCTTGCACAGGGGTCATACTAGCTCCGCGCGGCTGATCTCAGCCACGAGATCTCATGATCGATCGGCCGAGTTCGACCGCGCTCGGATGCCTTATGAAAATGCCAGCTCCAAAAGGAGCAACTCCTGTTTGTGAAGAGTTGTGCCCAGCAGTCCCCTCCAGCCTGTAGCACAGCAGGCCCCACCTGTCTGCCTTATCTGCCGCTCCCCCGTGGATGGTTGCCCATCCACGGCTTAGGGGTCACCCAACGGGTAGGCCGCGACATCGACCTGCCGGCCCCCTCTGGCTCGAAGTCAACCCCCACGTCCCATAAAAAAATAAAACTCCCTTTTCCCCTCTGCGTCGCGGCCCTATTTTAGGTAGACTATGTCTAGCTCTAGTCTTTCCACAACCACGCACCCCTGCGGCCTTGTCGAGAACCGCGGACGACCGATCGTACTACCGACTGCAGCTGCTCCGAACAAACGTCGATGACGTCACATGTCAACGACGTCCTACGCCAACAATGTCAGGCTTTAGGTCCCTCAGTTATAGGTTTGGTCTGAATAAACTTTGGCAACGTCAATCTCATCATGTCTCCCAATCCAACAAAAAGTCGGATAGCGTCTGACCTTGAAAAACTCGGGCAGAAACCCTTACAGGGGTTTCTGTCCCGACACCCTTCCACGTCCCCATTAAGCGACGTCCCCGTCACTTATCATAAGCAATACAAGAGGAAGTCTTTATAAGATCTCACCAATTATATCACATAATTGCATTATAACTGAAATTAATCTAAATCTTGCATTCTCACTCATGAAAAGTGACGTTTCCGTCGTTCATCCTTCTTCCTTTTATAATCACCTGGATACTCTTCTATGAAATACTCCATGCATATTTCATTACTCACAATACGTCAAACATTGACTTACTTTTAATCATAACAGAGACTTACTTTCAAGCCTTAAACAGATAGAGGCTTACTTTCAAGCCTTTAACATACAGAGGCTTACTTTCAAGCCTTTTGATTCTTTCGAACCTTCCTTCGAAGGCACTTTCATTCAGTCACGAGTTGGAATGGGGCCATAATTAACCTCCGGCGGGTCTTTCCCCGGAACCTGGAATCCACCGTTGGCTTTATCCAACCTGAGGAGTTACAAGAACATTTCAGAAGAATGATCCCAGCGTCATCCCACTGGCGACCACTCATTCTCTCTTCTTGTCTCTCATAGATGGGTCAGGCTTATCCCCCTGTTGGGACTCTCTTCAGGCTATAACCCCCTGTCTAGGTCTCGTCAGGCTTAACCCCCTGCGAGTCTTTCGTCACACAGCACATACTGCCAGGAATTTAACCTGGGCCTCTCGTGTCCATGGGGGTGCATTCCCAACACCTCAGCATGTCTCTCGCTGTCAGGAGTTTAACCCGGGCACCCCAGGAAACACAAGGGTACTCACACTATACTACAGCATGTGTTGGTACGATCCCAGAGAGAAATCATGCTTCCAGAAGTCCTCATCCAATCCGGCTAATTCCCACTCCAACTTAATCACCATGCATGATTTATCTCCTACATGTTTTGTGAATGCGTTGAGGAGTGGTGTAATCCATGGAGGATAACATCTCGACGTCGAGCCCCGCTTTAGACTCGAGCCTCACCACCTTCCCTCCGATTCCAGTGTCATACATCCGTTACTACCCTACCTGCAAGGTTGAACTACCCCTCCCTTATGACCTAAGCTGATCAGACCCGGCCATAAAGTCGAGGCGACCCCATGCACTACAAAAGAAAAGGTGATCAATCTTCCCCTCATGGCGAGCGGTAATCGCCACCCTCACAAGCCAAATTTCAACAAACATATTACCACCTTCCTCCCTTTCGACGATAGTGTACCCATCCCCCTCGAAAGGAAAAATGACAACATCCCGCTATGGATCTGAAACAAAGTTCCGGCGCACGCCTCACTACCGTCTACGAGACTCACAACATTAGGATTCCTCATTGCATGGCAATTAACACAGAGTCAAGTCATAAGGTAAGATAAATATTTGAATCACATGCATGACGAATAAACGCATGTTAATCCAGTCAGGCATATAACTCAAGTACAAATCATCCCCCTTAGACTCGCACTGACGAATTCTTACATTCATAATCACATACACGGAGTCCCATAAGAATTCCACGTTTTTTTTTTTTTTTTTTCAGTCCTTCTCATATATGATGAACACTTCAACAATATAAGTATCCATCAGCTATTTCACAATACACTTCTTGACAAAAGTCAGAACCAACAAGCAAGAAGGTTACCAAAATTGATGCCACCAATTACCTCCTTTACCCTTCCTTTCTAAAAGTTTTCACTAAACTCTTGGGATAAACTTCCGTAGATGTGCACCCGATACCCAATTTCTACTCCGAGATCCATCCAATTCCTCTATTTCATATGCCCCATGTTCTGTTTTCCTAGTGATCCGATATGGTCCTAGCCACCGACTGTCTAGTTTTCTGGACCACTGTTTTTCTAGCGACATATCATACAACAAGACGATGTCTCCCACTTCCAACGACTTTTTTCGTACACGTGGCCTCTTGCCCCATCTTTCCTTATCAGCCTGCCTGTTTTCAGAAGTAGAGACAATCGCGTCTTCAATCCGTTCTTCAGTCACTATGATCTGTCTTGCCCTCAATTCCAATAACTCTTTTGTTGAGAGTTTTGTTTCCACGTCCTGTTTCTGCCAAGTGGTCAGGAAACTCTCAATCGGAAAAGTCGCATGCCGTCCAAACCATAACGTGACGGGAGCATACCCGGTTGTTCACTTGATGGTAACATTCTCAACAAAAAAGGCTGCCCTCAAATAAATTGACGATCTTTATGGTTTCCCCTTGCACCATTTAGCCAACAAGTTAGACAAGGTGGTATGTCCTCGTTCCACGGGTGCATTGGCCTGGGGATGCGCTCTCGTCGTATAACTGAAACTCACCCCAAGTCTCTTTAAAAGCGTTTGCACCTCCTTTGCTCGAAATTCGCCTCCTCGATCCATAACAACCTCTTGAACAAATGGATAACGGAGGTAATATTCCTCAATGCACTCTGCCAAGACCGATCCAGTACGTTCGCGAATGGCACGACCATCAACGAACCCAGTCAAATTGTCCCGTGCATCAAAGATGTATCTGTATCCATTTATCCCAGGTGGCATTACCAAAAGATCCAAATGCACCACCGCACGTGGTTCTGCCACATAACGTGGATTCAGGGGCTCGAGGTAGCGGATGTTAGACCTCTGCTGGCAAGTGAAACAAGATTTACAAAAGTCAATGACCATCTTGCTCATCCCTTCCCAAAAATAAAGACGTTGGATCTTGTTCAAAGTTACCCGCGCAGATCTGTGTCCGCCGGCTACCCCATCATGCAGGGCAGCAATCACATCCAACTGCCGAGAGATCCCACATACCACCCTCTTTGGGACACCATCAGCAACCTTCTTAAAGAGATGACCGTCACGAACAATTAATCTTTTGTTTTTCTCTCGCACAACCGGATCAACCTCACTTTCGCCCAATTCCCTATTCAACCACATGCCTATTTTCTTATATTCCCTTTCGTACTCCTTTTCCTTAAACGCTTCTTTGACCTCACCGCCTCCTTCCTCCACATTCATTAACCTCAAGCGATCCTCGTGAACCAACAAATTCATGATATATGACATCCTTCCAACGATCTAGAAAGCGTCATCAGCCCGCATATGGCCCTATTCAATCGTTAGCGGATCAAGCATAAGGTCGATGTCACCGGTCAAAGTCAGCCTCATCATTTCCTCTGCGGTCTGCTCGCCCCATGGGTCCTCTTCGATGAAAGGTTCCTCCTCCACGAGTTCTGGACGTACTTCGTGAAAGGCAGGAGCATTCGATATCGATTTTCCATGCCGAGTGGCTGCACCAGTCAGGTAGGTAAGAGTGTTAATACTCAATCGCGCCTCCTCTTCCTTCAGAAAGGCATCGACCGAAACTGATTCTTCCGCCTGATCCGCCTCTGGGTCCCATTCAACCCGACTCAACCCATCAGCACGATTCTGACTCCCCGAAATCCGCTCGATTTCAAAGTCAAACATCCAAATATAAGTCAACCATCGTGCAGTGGTGGGATCAGCAGATGAATAATTCCTTAAGAATTAAGCCAATGCAGTCGGATCCACCCGCAGGATGAAGCGTCTACCGAACACATAATTCCGAAAGATGCGCAAGCAGTGAAGCACGACCAAAGTTTCTTTTTTTGAACTGGGAATAGTTCCTCTTAGCAACATTCAGAATCCTGCTCTCAAATCTAAGAGGCCTTTCCTGCCCCTCAGCATCCTTCTGAATCAAGACCCCTCCTAGGGCTGTGGACCCCGCATCAGTCTCAATAACAAAAGGACGCTTTTCATCATCGTCAAAAAAAGGAACTCCAAGGATCAATCCGCCCTCACGGAACTCAGTCTTTATGTCTTCCACGRCCGCTTGCTRCTTCGRACCCCATCCCCACTTCTGGCCTTTGCGCACAAGCTTTCGCAAGTGCTCCACTCTGGCGGCAAACCTGCGGATGAAGATGCGCCAAAATCCACAAGTTCCGAGRAAACTTCGCACATCCGYGATTGACTTGAAAGRGGTCGGYCATTCCAAAATTTTATTAGTCTTCTTCGCATCCGGCCGGCGACCTTTYYCATCGCAAAGGAATCYCAAGATCACTGCTCTCTTCATACAATGTCGAGACTTAATCCCACTAGCTGTGAGATTAAACTCTTTCAACCTCTTAAGAACTTTCACCACATCATTGATATGTTCCCAGACAAATCGGCGAATGCCCGAGAACACCTCCGCTAGGTTTTTCGTATGAGACCCTGGGATAGCCAAGTCGTCAATATACGGCGAAGTTATGTTAGGAAAATAAGGATGCATAACCCTCGTCATATATCTCTGAACAATGGCAACGACATTTGTCCACCCCTGCGGTGCCACACACATATGGATAAACCCGCGAGGAGTATGCATCGCCATCTTGGGCCGATCCGCAGTGTAAATGGGAAATTGATCATTCCCGGAATATAAATCGATCAGGGTGATGATAGACCTCCCTACACAAGACTCCGACAGTAGGTCCGCATGTGGGAGTCCACCTGCATCTCGCACTGTCACTGAATTCAGCTTCTGAAGGTCCTGAATCCATCACAGAGTACCATTCGGTTTGATGAAACAGAACCATGGAGATGCATATGGCCCATAAGAATAATCTGCAACCTTTGTCCGGATCTTTCCATCGAGATACGCGACCACTTTACGGTGATCCGCCGGATTCGAATAACGTGGCCCTCTTATATTCTATGGTTCGTGTGGTACAGTATAAACTCTGATCATCGGGATTTTATCGACATCCAGCCTTCCTCGCTCATCATCATCAAACACATAGGAGAGATGTTCCTCCTTCAATATATCGATGATATATTTTTTTTCCTGCTCAGTAAGGAGGTCCTCCTCCCCAATGATCATACTTCCCACTCTTTCTTTGGTTAACCGACATGGCCCCTTTTCACCTCTCTCTTTCATTTCTCTGATCCACTCGCGCTCCTCATGATAATAAACTTCCTCCTCTTGAGTAATCAGAACAGGTACCGGCTTCGCCTTCACGCCTACTTTCTTGTACTTACGTTTGGCGCCGGTGTCAAGCATGCGTCCTCTAAAAAACGACCCTGTCGGGTGGAGGGCAATTCCTGATCTTCTCCCTTATTCCCCTCCGACGGGGAGTAAACGAGGCGCATAGTTCCTGCGCTTCCGGTGTCCGTGATGATTTCCGTCAAGGCTTGCACTACATTTGGATCAATCGCCGCATGTGTCGACACAAAATCGATTGCCTGCCCAATATCAGGCAGGGTCAGCGAGAACTCACGAGCATTCGGCTCCTCCCCTAACAATTCCCTCTCCCGTCTCAACTTTTCTGACTCCGGGAAGCTATAGGATTCCGGGTTCAGCCGGTTCCGCGAGCAATAGGGTCCAGTGTTCGCACACTTGACCACTTCGTAATAACCGCAGACAAGATCACAAAGGATTATAAACATGGTTCCATCATGCTTGTTAATAATGATGCTCTCCTATCGACATAGGAATGCCCTTCCCAGAAACACCTCATGTTCCACTCTAGGTAACACGTAGAAATACGAACGGACCTTGACCTTTCCGATCGTGACGAGAACGCCACTGGCTGTTCCGCAAAATGGAGTTGATCCACTAGCTCCCACCAAAAACCCATAGTCATCTCGGTTGATCTTCAACCCAGCTTCGATGGCATGGCGCTCACGAATGATGTTCATCTCGGCTCCATCATCCACAAGTGCCGAGTACTCCTGCTGTCCAATCTGGACCTTCATATGGCTGGTCGACACATTTCGTCAATCCATCTTTGTCCCAGGCGGGGACCAGTTAGCCTCCGGCGGAATGACTTCGCCGAGCTTAATAGTCATGATTCTCTCTCTTACGAGTCATCCGCTATTTAAACTCTTCTCGAATCTTCGACGATACCGCTAAAATTTCCTTCAGCGTGACCAAGTCGCGCTGACTTTCCAGAATCTTATCGACGAGTCGCTCGATATCGACCCCGTGCTCCACGGGGATCGAGTAAATATTTTTCTTCTTTCGCGACTCTTCCTCGCTTGCTTCAGTCTTCCTTTTCTCTGGCTCCCTTTTCAGTGCATGACGACGATGCCGTTCTTCCTCTTCGGCCCGCAACTTCTCATCCTCGTTATCCTCATCGTTCTCACTAACGGGGATAGGCTCTTCTTCGACTGCCTTTTCAGACTCTCTTTCCTTCTGAAGCTGCTCGTTTCGTCGCCGCATCCGAGTCTGCACGGTTACAGTTGGGGCACTCCTCTTTAGCACAAGCCTAGGTCGCATCGTGCTTACTATTGGCCCAGTTTGTAATGTTTCTCTCGGAGCAGACGTCCCTCATTGGCCAGACGCATCTTCCCTTTTATCACCCCATTCGCCGAAGAGAAAGACATTCGGTAATCCAGGCCAGACTTCCTCCATGTCCACGCAAAGTCGGACAATAGAGTAACGGCATCGGGCAAGCCGCCTCGTGATGGTTTGTGCTCGTTCTACCACTTGCTCCCTAAACCCTTCTGGTTCCGTCGGCGAGTCGTCAATATGTAACGAAGCCATGACTTCCTCGACCTCGACCAGCTGCGCTTCTTCAGAAGAAGCAATCTGGAACGTCGCAGGCAGGGGACGACCCATTCGGCGAAATGCCTCCTTCCTCATACCCCCTTCAATGTTTGGGTCGATTGAATTCCCTTCGTAATCAAAGACTTCACCGCGTATCGTGGTGAAGACAATTCCTTTCTTCTCATCTCTTGACAGGAGTTGGCAAAACCGCATAATATGGCCCTTTTCTGCGCAATAGTTACATGTGGCTTTCTGCTGCCACGCCCAACGGCTTCGTTGTCCGTTCCCACAGCCTCGACCGCGGCCTCTTTCACCCTGTGGTTGGAACTGCCCTTGATCCTGCGAATTTTGTCCAGACGAACCACCGCCAGCACCGCCATTCCATCCTTGATTATTTTCTCCGCCATTCTTTCCCTGCTTACGGGAGGTCCCCTGTCCACCTCGAATTTGATTCAAGACCTTCCTCTCCGCCTTTGTCAACTTACGAGGCGGTTCCTTTTCCTCCTCGCTCTAACTATCACTTTCCTCTACCACCGGCTCTTTCCCCTTCCTCTTACTATTTTTCTCTTTGGCCAGTATGACTTGAAACTTCAGCCTTTCCTCTTTCATGCCTTCCATCATCTCTCTCATGCAGGTCAAAGTTTTATAGATCTCACTGTCCTTTACCTCTCCCAGCTTCACCTTCTCCCGTTCCTCCTTTTGTTGCCTCAACAGCCGGTAGAGGATATCGTCGAATTTCCCCACCAGCGCATTTTGTCGGACCTTAGTCCAGTCATACCTCCCTTGCATCCCTTTAACCAACTTCGACTGTTCGACGTCGTTGAAGTTATCAAGGAAGATGAGGCAGCGATCTTTATCGGATAAATCCAAGTTTAGGCGACCCACACGCCCAAACTCCGATAAGAATTGTTTGGTAGTACCAAACTTCTTACGATCCACCGGCCTCAAATCTCGCAGGTCGAGTAACCGATCGCCGAGCTGGTACTTCTCCAATAACCGCGCCTTAAAATCTGGCCAATTACGGGAGATTCGCACCAGCTCATCGATCTCATCTCGGTACTCCACCTGACAATACCTATTAACCATGCGAAGCATCTTCTCATCCGTATATTTGTTGCTATACCCGAGTTGCTCAAACTTGTTTGCCCAAGAAGAGGCATGATTCTCATCGAACAATGGAACATCAATCTTGGGGTAGGGCTCTCGCTGCGACTGCCGGATGACCCGTGCCAATTCTTGAATGTCGTTCCTCCCATCGTCGATGTTGTCGCGACGTCCTGCGGCACCGTCCATCCAGAAACATAAACCCAATAAATCAGCTTAGGAGTTTTGGTGACATCTATTAAGGTTCCTTTCTTACATTTATAGAGGCTCGGAGATTACTAACCTTTTTTCTTAGATAACCACTACGGCACAATCTTTCACTTGCTTCATTCCCGAGTGTCGTTCCACCAGGGACAACGGTAGTTTGCCGTTATCCCCGGCAACAGCGCCACCTGTCACGCACATCGGCCCCCGCATGAGCGAGGACCCTCCCGGCCTCGTCACGCGGGAGAGACTTAGCTTTCCAACTTTTTAGAAACAGCTTTGGGACAACACGGTAACCCGCGTCGACCCGTTACTGCTCCGCCCGAGTGCGCCAGCTGTACATCCCACGGTCCCCTACGACAGGATAGGTTTCCGCGGGGCATAACTTACCTTCCCTAAGGGGCTGTCACCACCCTTAGGGGTGTATCCCTACCGAGCTACCGACCCACATGCGAAAGCTTTTATAATGCAGTTGCAGAGATAAGGCGGCCGAGGGCGTTTGCTCGTTCGCTGTAGCATAGGTACGCATAGTTAAACGCCAAAGTGGACCCGAACGTCGTTTGTCCCTGGGGCGCTGATCTCCCAGGAATCGGACCGACGTCGGTCGACTAGGACGTGACGTTCCAAGCGTAAGGAAGACTTCCAACAATCCTAGTCCCTTCTTTCGAAAACAATCAAGAGTCACTCAGACAAACCCTTTCAAAAAAAAGACTCAGGTCAACGCAAGTTGACTTATCTTCCAAAATCAACTTATATGTAATACAATCATGCATACGACAAAGGTTGACTTGGCTTCAAACAACACCTATCAATAAAAGATCAAAACATGACCAATACACAAGGCGACACTCAAGTGGCGTCTGACTAAAATATCTTCACTCTGCCTGCCAGACGGCTGGACCGTCACGAMTTTTTCGACTGGATGAGATGCGTTGCCAAKTTTTTTTCATTCYKCCCYATACTGACTGCTAGCACGGAATATGAGCGCCCCAACTCTCAAGCAGAGTTAGAGTGTCATTGTTTTAATGATGACTTCACGYTTTTCCTCTAACTTTGRTGTGAATGCCATCTSCAAATAACTCGGCTACCACCTATACAAGTCAGCGACCAACTCGAACAACTGACACACTGATCACTTCGCCAAAGACGGGGTCCACCTTGCCTCTGGGAAACAATTACTCTTGTTGTTCTATGAATGATGACGTACCCGCCTCCGACATAAAGACATTCGAAGAAACACTTTAGTTGTTACCTACTGTCAACTAGCCTGATGACCCCAGGCTTGCACTCCTTATGGTGCAAACCTATCCGCAAAGATGGTGCCTATATGCACTCCACTCATAACTAACGAAAACACGAATTGGGCTTCTTATGGCGCCAGTTCTCCATTCGTCTGTGGCTTCTAAGACGACCACAAAGGCTAAACTATGACGGTCTTCCTTAGCGTAAGCCGACAATGACTTAACGTCTTTCGTGAATAGCGCATGTCCATCCCCTAGGTGGTGGTCTGGGATACCCCTCGTCCTCGCCCGAGTGAACCTCGGATCTCAGAAGTCGGGCCGGCTCCGCCACAACAGCATGGTATCCCCCCGCAGTGCGGTCCACTCCGAGTCGATCACAGGGTCGGC